CGTGGTTACGAATCTTGCTCCTGTTTGCACTGTATAGACTCAACAATATGGCAGTAAGCGCACGACACGCAGTTCGTCAGCTGAGCCTGCGGCTTAACTTGCCGCGCCCCATGGCCGCAGGACGAATGCTGAGCGCATGGACGAGCTCGCCCAGCACCGGCAGTGACGCCGCTTGGGGCTTGATCGCCCCACGAGGCCAGGTTCTGGCTACGATGGCTGCTACTTCACAGCAACAACTTCGTTTACCTACCGCACACACACACAAACACACAAATGTGTGTTTCGGTGGCACACCTGCTGCGCTGCTCATTTCTCTCTCTCTCTCTCTCTGTGCTTGACAGTCATTCTCGCATATGCACACACGGTGTGGTATTTTCTTTTCTGATTGCTCGCTTGGAGAGACGCACCGCACCATTCCCTCCCCCTTGTCAACTTGACTCAACCGGCGCTGCCGCTGTTTTTTCGCGTCCTACTGCCGTTTCGTGATTGCTTCTTTTTGGTTGTGTCTCGTCACGCTGCCACACTTGCACTGCCATACACCAACCAGACCCGTGAGCATGGCAAAGTCCGCGACCATGCTGCTGCCCGCCCAAGGCTTTGACTTTCCGCTTCTGGGCGCCGTCGACTTTCGCAAGCTGCGTGCCATGGCAGCCCAAGACGCAGATGGCCAAAACACCTCTGCCTCGAAAGTCGAGGAGAACCGCAAACACTGCCACTTTTGCTCCAAACGCTTCGCCTCACTAGCCCACGTCATCCGCCATGAACGCGTGCACACTGGGTATGTCTCAGCGACAAGTCAACCGGTCTTCAAAGGCCAGCACCCCTCTCCCCTCTCCCCTGACCCCCCCTTATCGCAGACGCTGGGGGAAGGGCGCGCCTCAACACCCTCTTTTCCAGCTTGGCAACATCATCCTGGCCAACTGACCCGCCCCATGCCTTTGCCTTACCAATGCAGTGAACGCCCCTTTGCCTGTGATGTCTGTGATCGACGCTTTAGCCAGGTAAGCTCATCCCCCACGCCTCCAAGCCACCCAGCCCACCTGCCCGAGCCCCAGCATGGGGGTAGACACACGCACACCGCCCACACACACTCGCATACTCGCCGCTTTTTCTCGTGGTCATTGTGAGCTGTGTCGAATGTTTTCCTCTTGTTTCCACCGATTATGCGATGTTGTCGTGCCACGCCTTTTGTGTGCTTTTGGAACACACACATCTCGCGCTTTTGTCCTTTTGTGCTTTTGTGCTTTTGTGTTTTTTTTTTTGTTGGATTGGTCATCATGTGGGATTGGTCAATACCCTATCACCCTTCACGTGCCAGCCACTCCCCCCCGTCCCAAATTTGCTCTCACCCTCTTCTCTCTCTTTCTTTCTCGCGCGCGTGCGCTCGCTCGCTCTCTTTGTAGTTGGGTAACCTCCGCACCCACCGCCGTCGCCATGCCCACTGCGACGCCAAGGCCGTCATCACCAAAGACAGCTGTACCAGGCCCGACCTGACAGCTGCTACTGCCACCCCTGATGCCCCATCCTCAACTCACAAAGCCGTCAAAGCCGCTGCACCAGCGCGGGACCACTCAGCTCGCCCCGCAGGCAAGCGCTCCAAGACTTGTTCCGCCTCGGCTGACGATACCAAGGCAACCACCAAGGCATCCGATGGCCTTTCCATCCTCTTGCAGGCGATTGAACACGAAGGCAACTCGCCTTCAACCTCAAAATCGCCTTCCCCCAACCAAGCCGTGGTCCAGGATGCCACTGCCTTTGCCTCCCCTACGCTGCCCAACCTGGCCGCTGCCGCCATGATGGCAGCTCAACAAATGGCGAGCCATTCCTCCACCGGCACCCCCTTTATGGCCTTTCCCATGCCCTTCCCCTTTTTTGGCCCCATGTCCACCTCGGGGTTTGCGTCACTCGCTGCCTGGAATTGGGGGATGAACAAGCAGTTGCCAGGAACCTCATCCACAGCCCCCTCAGAAGACGGCACTGAGCTCTCTCGCCCAGGCTCGGCCACTGCCCACAACTCGGATGCGTCAAAAAATCCTTCCCCACATCCCTCCGATGCCATCACTGCTTAAGCGGCGCTCCTGCCCGCATCTTGTATATGCGTGTGCGTATGGATCGAGCCGCGCTCGTGCCTGGCAAACTACACTGCCATCACTCTTGACGCACTGCCCCTTGTTGTTTTAGTTTTGCAATGTTTGATTCGGACAGTGATGCCGCTCCTCGTTGGTGTCTCACTGTTAAGGCTAGGACTCTCAAATTTTACCTCTTCTACCTTTTTTTTCTTTTCTTTTCTTTCTGCTTCTTGGTGGCGTTCTGATCCGTGAACGTCGCCGTGCTTTGTTGTTCCCCAGGTGGGCTTGTCTTTTGACCCTTGTACAAATCTCTTAGCTCGGGTTTAAGCTCGTTTCTGAATCACCCGCTCTCTTCTGATAGCACAACACCACCGTTGTTGCTCCTCGGCGGACGCGCATGCCTCTCCTGCCGTCAGTCCGATTCGCTTCTTATCCTCAGCGAGGCACATAACCAAATTAGGCTCCCCTTTGGCTTGTGAAGTTTTGCCTGCTTTGCTTTTAGCGCTCATCGATTTTCTTTTCTTTTTTTTTTTTTTCGTTTTAACAGCCCCTCAATCCACTTCTCAAGTTCAATCTTCGCTTCGATTGATATGACACATGAGCCTGGCGGTTATTTGTACATTTCACGAGTCCTCATGTTCCGTATACAATCCGACCGCTGTGGTGCATTTGGTTTAGGACTTGCCTGTGGTCAAGACAATCTATCACGGATAAACGTGGCCCTCTTGATATCGCTGGCACATGCAAGCATCGTGGTTGACCCACGAGCCCTCGCAGCAAGGCACTAGCGCAGGAACGGGTAGAGATAACATCTGGTTGGGAAACGGCTGGACCGTGGCATAATGTGCAGCGAGAGCCTAACGGCAGCACAAACATGAGTTTCATGTCAGTGACAACTTTGCCCCTTGCCGCCTTGCATGCAGCATGCTCTAACAGAATCAAGCTCGACCATGCAGATGACGAACCGATTTGGCCGAGGCGACAAGCTGATCGAAATTGGTAATGTTGGCCGCGCTCAACGGATAATTCTCCTCCATATCCAAGATCATGTCGAAAACCAATGGAGGGTCATGAAACAGCAGATTCTCCTCGGCACAATCGCACAAGGAGCCCCCTACAACACGGCGCGTGCTTGGTGAAGGAGCAGAGGCGAGGCGGGTGCGGTAACAACCGTCACAGGGGCTGTTGCCGCCACTCGACGCACCGGTACCGTTGAAATTGGTCGGCCCATAGGGACAGCACTCGGTGCACAGGGGGGAGGGACGAGCATCAGAGGTCCATACGGGAGTGGCAAAATGCAGCTTGTAGCGCCCAAAGCGAGCTAGACGATAAGAGAGGTGCAGGGGTGGTATCGTGAAACCCGATCAAAGAGCCAACGGCAAGCTTAGCGGATTTTGAGGAAGGCCCCTGCTCCAGCAGGCTGTACGCACCAGCAGTCACATTGTGACCACAATAGTGCCACATGGTACGATTGCGCACGGCAGGGTCCTCCTGGCCATATAGCTCGTTGAGGATACTCATGCCATCGATCAGGCGATCCGCCGGCAAGGAGGCTCCAGTGAGCTCGGCCAGCGTGGGCATGATGTCCTACTCCCAGACCGGCGTTGGCGAGCCAAACATTATCATAAGACCGCTGCAGCCTCTGCTGCACAGATATTGATGAGAGGTCGGGTTGGCAGGCGTACAAGCGTAGAAATGGGAGCATTGGACACGCGTCCCGCGGGAATGCGGCCCGGCCAGCGAGCCAAGCCAGGCATGCGGATACCACCCTCATAGGTTTGGCCTGCCGCGCATTTGGACCAGGTCGAATTCCAGATTAAGGTGACACTGGGCTCGCAAACACACACGCCAACAACAAGCTGGGCCATTGAAGCGAACCTTTAGAGCCCTTTAGACCACCAGTGCGCCCAGCCTTGTCCCAGCCTTCCTCTGCAAACGGGCCATTGTCCGACGTCAAGATCACCTTTGACAAGAGATGAGCACGCCCGACATGTGGTCAGGTTTGAGCAAGATAACCCACACACATTGCCAAGGCAAGTCGTGCTCCTACCAGTGTATCGTTGGCGATACCAAGCTCATCAAGCGTATTCAAGATGCGGCCGACGCTATGATCCATTTCTGCGCCAACCGATCGCGTGGTCAAAGCAACATGGCATGAAGGACGGGCGCTGTTCACCATGCACAGGCCAGAGGAAGGAACCGGTGCGCAATCGAGCACAACTGTCGGTGCGTGGTTGAAGCAACCAACACACACCTTGCATGCACATACCTTCCACGTTGTCACCAAATCGACCACCGCGGCTCACATTAAAAAAGGCGGGCGAAGAGAAGAGCGGTGAATGAACGTGCACGTAAGACTAGTTGGCAGGTGTTCAGAATCGCCGGTGAGGCCAGCCCAAACTGCCGAATCGTGGGTCGGGGTGGGCATGCTAAAACGGAACCGGGCCCACCATCAAGAAAAAGAACGGGCGGGCCAGCGAGTGGGCGTGGCTCATGAAGGAAATGGCATGGTCGGTCAAGATCTGCGATGGAGAGAGTGGTTGCCGGTTGAGCGGGCAAGAAATAGAACCGCGGAGCGCAATTGCGGCCCCGTGCTCCCTACTTGAGTGAGGTTATCGTAGTTTGTGGGTTGTTCAACGATGGTGTTGTTGGCCATAATCATGCAGTACTGAACCTCCTCAGCCGTGCCTTGCCTGACTCGGTGATTGTCGGTTCAGTTGAAAGCCAGGGTTGAGGGGGATGGGGGGGGGCAACAGCGTAAGATGGATGGTACAGACGGCCACCGCAGGGATAGGCGGGGGAGGGAGGGGGGGGGGGGGG